GAGGCCGGAGGATCATGGTGAGTTTGAGACCAGCCTGGGCTACAAAAGTGAGCTCAAGGTCAGCCTGAATCGCATAGTGAGACCCTGTCTTGAAAAAAAAAAAAAAAGTGCTAAAAGAAAATCACATAGAAGCTTTCAGTGATAACTAAAATTGTATGTATAGTGTGTGTGTGTGTGTGTGTGTGTGTGTGTGTATGTGTGTATGTGTGTTACTAGAGACAACACAGCGCCTTCACCCTATACCTTTAATTTTTTTTTTTTTTTTTAATTTTGAGACAGGGTCTTACTAAGTTGTTAAATGGCCCAGACAGAGGATGAACTTGCCGTCTTTCTACTTCAGCCTACCAGAGGACTTGATTACTGGCATGTGTCACATACCTGGGTCATTTTATATTTTTGAGACAGGTTCTCACTATTCCCAGGTTGGTCATGAAATTGCTATGGAGTCCAGGCTGGCTCCAAATCACAATCCTTCTCCCTCAGCTTTTTGATTATGACTGTAAGTGTAAGCCAACACACCCAACTTTATTTTTATTTTTTTGTATTTTAGGGAAATCAGATCTACAGGGTGTTCAGGGTCTCACAACTAGATCAGACTTGTAGTGATCCACCTGTTTACAGCCTCCCAGGAGCTGGGATTACAGGCATATGCCACCATGCACAGTCTTAATTGCCGTCTCAGCATGCCCTGGGGTCAGGGCCGGCACTCAACTTTAATATTATTATTAATATAAACATACTTAACTGTGAAAAGCCAAATATAGCCTACCATGCCTGAAGAAAACTGGCATGAAGCAAAACTCTAGGTAGTAGGTAAACATTCTACTTAATATCCTATTAAGGTAGCCTAGTCTGTCCCCAAAAGCCAATGCAAGTGGTCATCAGACTGCTAGAGCAATTATACAAAGTTCTGCAAAGTGATGCAGGGAGCCTGGAACAGAAGCATGGCCTTTGGCGGAGGCCCCAGGGCACGAGTGACGGTGGGCTACTGTGCTCTGCAGAGCACCTTACCGAGATCATGTTGCCGATGATGCAGCTGTACAGTTTGATGATCTCATCCTTCTCCAGCTTCTCATCCGCCATGTGCGTGTTGTAGATGAGTCTGAGCTGCATGAAGGTTGCTATCAGGAACTGATCAATGTGGCCAGACATAGCTTCGGCTTTGTCTTCCTGTCTCAGGACCTCATCGATCTGATAATGGAAATTCCAAGATTCATTTTCCAAGCTTCATACAGAGCAGTAGAAAGACACTGGAAGGGATTTCTCTGTAAGAGCACTAGTAAAGCATTTCCAATCTTACCTTTAGAAAAACTCTTGTAAAAACTAAGGAAACTATCACTTAATATATATTTATTGAACGAGACATCATCTGGATTAATCATCTAACAGGCTAAGTTAGGGACTAATCCTATGTGTATTCATATATTACCAGCCATGGTGGTACACAGCAGCCCTTGGGAGGCTGAGACAGAAGCACTGTCATGAGTTCAAAACCAGCCTGGGTTACATAGTAAATGCAAGATTAGCCAGAACTACACAGTGAGAAGCTGTTCCCCCAAACAACACAACACAACAAAACAAAACCCCAAAACAAAAAAGAAAATTAAGATTAATTTATTAAAAAGAATGGTTTGGGCTCAATGGCATAAGCAACTACCTAGCAAGTATAAGGACCTGAGTTAGATTCCTGATACCAAATAATAAATAAATAAATAAGTAAATATACAATTTAAAAAATGCTTTGGCCAGAGACAGAGTGGCATAAACACCTGCCTGGCAAGCACAAGGTTCTGAGTTTGATTCCTGGTACCAAAAATAAGTAAATAAATTTTTAAAAGTGCTTTTAGGTCTGTTCAGCAGTCTAAGTGCCTGCCTGGCAAGTGTAAAAACCCGGGTTTGATCCCCAGTACTGCATGCCATGCTGGCCCTGGAACCCCAGGAGCGCCATGCCAGCCACCAAAACTGGGCATGATGGTGTAAGCCTGTAATCTCAGCACTGGGGAGGATGAAACAGGAAGATCATTACAAGTGTGATCTTCGAAGCAAGACTCTGTACCAAATTAAAAAAAAAGTAAGAGACTAATTTTTTTTAATGTATTTGGTACAAGGTCTCACTATGCAGCTTGGTGCTGGGATTACAGGCATGCACCACTACATCCAGTCTGGGGGCAGGGCTGGCGTGGCATGTGGTGCTGGGGATCGAAGTCCCATTCCTACGCTTGCCTAAGCAGGTGCTTAGTCTGTTGAGCTATCTTGCTGGCCCCTAAAAGATTTTTTTTTAAGTCCTTTTTAGACATTGTTTTCCTCCTTTTGGTGATGCTGGTTATTGAACCCTGGGCATTTACAATGAAGTACACTCCCAGACCACTTTTTAATTTTTTTCCCTAAATTACTAAGTTGCCCAGGGTAGGCACAAACCTGGGATCCTCCTGCCTCAGTCTCTTGGGATAGTTTGGGGATTACAGGTATGAACCACCACCATGCTCAATATCTTTAAAGGTATTTTTGGTATCAGAGATTGAATCCAACACCTCATGTGTACCAGGCAGATACTCTACTGGTGAGTTTCATCTCCAATGGTAATGAAGATCTTATTTATGAAAAAAAGGTGAAGGCACCATTAATGTACATTGTAAGGTGAATGATGACCCCTGGTGTGGTGGAAATTACGGTCCTACTTGCATATACTATGCATGCATACTTCCTAAGCATGATTTTATATAAAACTGGGAAGTTTTAACAATGGTATTTTGGGGGCAAGAATATAGCTTAGTGGCACAGTGCCTGCCTGGCAAGGATGAGGTCCTGAGTTCGATTCCTAGTACAAAATAAATGGTGTTTTAATATGGACACTATAAAAGACTATGTATTTTGGGGGAGGCTTACTCTTTATTTTTAATTTTTACTTAAAAAAATATATTTAATACAAGGTCTACAGGGCTTCACTACGTACATCAATTACAGGTGTGTGCCACCAGTCTCAATCCTGGCTTAGTGAGCCCCGTGAGTGGGGCCAGCATGGCAGGCCTGGGGACCAAATCCCCAGTCCCTGCATCTGCATAAGCAGGCATTTTAATCCACTGAGCTATGTGGCTGGCTCTTCTACTCTCTTTTAAAGGTGGGTGACACTGATAATGTGGCATACCCTCTCATGCGCATGTATCATATACAATTACATATACACATTAACAAAGTCAAAGTTTCGGGACACTATTTCAAGAGCAATATAGTATATTACTTCTTTGTATCAAACTTTCTTTTTTTTTCTTTTTGCGGAACCGGGGATTGAACTCAGGCCCTTGCGCTTGCCAGGGAAGCGCTTATTCCACTGAGCCATCTCCCTGGCCCTGTATCAAACTTTCTAATCAACAGACAATTATATATAAGTCTCTCAAGTCAGTAGGAATAGTTCTACAAAGTGACATGGGATGTACTGGCCCATCTGTGCCAATTCTGGCTTGAGAATTAGGCTGCATAACAGCCCATGTATTCGTGCACCAAAATGTACTCCATCATTCCTTATGAGAAACTTCCAGTGCTTCAGTTTGGTTGCTTTGTCCACTCTGGTACAATAAACATTTCTGTATGTATCCTTACATGTGCTTGCATTTTTGTGAATGGTGAGAAGGGGTAGTGCTGAATACCTTTTTGTGTATTCACTTAACTTTTGGATATCATTTGTGATATATCTATTCATATTTCTATTTTTCTTGGGCTTTTTGTATCAAGAGTTAACATGAGTTCTTTCAATTAAAGTTATTTCATTGGTCCACACTGGTTGCAAATATATTCTACAATATGGTAGCTTCTTTGAGACAAAAATCTTAACTTTTTTGGGCCGGCGAGACAGCTCAGCAGACTAAGCGCCTGCTTAGGCAAGTGCAGGGATAGAGGTTGGATCCCAGGCACCACATGCTGTGCTGGCCCTGCCCCTGGGCACACTGAGCTGGCACTGAGTCCAGGTGTGGTGGCGTACTCCCAGTGCTGGGGAGGCTAAAAACAGGAAACAAAAGATCAATCTTAACTTTTATACAAATTTTTCTCCTTTTGCAGGTTTTGGGTTTCCTACCTTAATTAATGATCTCTCCACATTCTTTAGTTACTTAAAAAAATTTAGCATGTGGGAGAGAATAAGTTGTTTCAAGTTTCCACAAGTTTACATGTGCTCTTATTTATTTATTATTAATTTACTATGTTTTACATGTATAATAGGCTCTATCCTCATTTCTGATACACTTTTGCTTTTTTTTAAAAAAAATTTATTTATTTGTGCGTGGGGGGCAGCTCCGCCCACCAGGGGGTGGTGGCTGGCTGGCATGTGGTGCTGGGGGATTGAACCGCGGTCCCTGTGCTTTGCTAAACCTGTTCTAAGTAGGTACTTTAGACCACTGAGCCATCTCACCAGCCCCAACTTTTGCTTTTTTTGAGACAGAGTCTGCTGTGCAGTTCAGGTTGGCCTTGAACTCGCTACACAGCCCAGGTTGGCGTCAGCAATCCTCCTGCCTCAGTCAGGCTGGGATTATAGGTGTGCATCAGCATGCCTTGCAATTTTTGCTTTTTACAGTCTAGTAAAAGATTTGTTTTTATTTTATTTTATTTTATTTTATTTTATTTTATTTTATTTTATTTTATTTTTTTCTTCCTCGAATGCCTTCAGGGCACTTTTGGCCAGCGGGAGAGCTGTGAGGTTCGAACTCCAGGAACCTGAGGCTGACAGCTTTGTGGAAGCAGCCACTTAAAGGACTGAGCTAGGGCCAGGCCCCTTGTTTTTATTTTATAAGGAATACTTTTAATTATTCTTTTTTTTTGGCGGAACCGAGGATTGAACTCAGGCCTTTCTGCTTGCAAGGAAAGCGCTTACTCTACTGAGCCATCTCCCCAGCCCCTAAGGAATAGTTTTAATAGTCATAATTTTTTGTGGTATTAGAGATCTACATGCATTTATAAATTTTAATACATTTCATGAATTTTAACTTCTTTATTTTTTTTTAAACTTTATTTTTTACTTTCAATTTCTTCTAGTTTTCTGCTTAAGATTACTGTTCTAGAGCTGGGGAAATAGCTCAGCAGTCTAAGTGCCTCCCTGGCAAACACAAAGTCCTGAATTTGATCCCTGGTACAAAAAAAAAGCACTAAATGGAAGTTGGGCAGAATGGTGCATGTCTATAATCCCAGCACTCAATAGGCTTAGGCAGGAGGATCATGAGTTCAAGGCCAGTCAAGACTACATAGCAAGTTCAAGGCAAGTGTGGACTACAACTCAAAATAAATAAAAAAATAAATAAATCCAAAGGAAATTTTTTTTTAATTTTATTTATTTGTGTGTGTGTGTGTGGCCAGCTCAGCCCACCAGGGGGCGGGGCTGGCTGGTTTGTGGTGCTGGGGGATCGAACCGTGGTCCCTGTGCTTTGCTGAACTTGTTCCAAGTAGGTGCTTTAGACCACTGAGCCATCTCACCAGCCCAAAGGAAATATTTTTAAAAATTATCTTTTATTATTTTATTTTTATTTTTGGCAGAACCAGGGATTGAACTTAGGTCTTTGTGCTTGTTATTTTTTTTTTTTTTTTTTTTTTTTTTTTTTTTTTTTTGCAGAACCGGGAATTGAACTCAGACCCTTGCACTTGCCAGGGAAGCGCTTATTCCACTGAGCCATCTCACCAGCCCCCTTTGTGCTTGTTAGGCAAGCACTTATTCTACTGAGCCAACTCCCCGGCACCTTTCTTTAAAATGAAATTTAAAGCTCACATGTTAATTATTTAGCTTGTTTATTAATATCCTCCTGCTTCAGCTTCCCAAGTGCTAGAATTATAGGCATGTATCATGGCTCCAATGTATGCTTTTTAAAAAAATTGTCTTTGCTTTTCTTGTTATTTTTTTATTTTTATTTTTTTTGCAGAACCAGGGATTGAACACAGGTCCTTGTGCTTGCCAGGGAAGCACTTATTCTACTAAGCCATCTCCTCGGCCCCTCTTGTTATTCTTTTTGAGACAAGGTCTTCCTGTGTACTATAGGCTGGCCTCGAACTCATGGTGATCCTCCTGGCTCAGCCTCCCCAGTGCTGGGATTACAGATGTGCATCACCCCACCTAGCTGTCCTTGTTCTTCTTAGGCTGCATTAGTTTCCCATATAAATTTTAGAACCAGCTTCTTAAACTGCAGAAAAAATGAGATTTTGCTAAGAAATGTACTGAGTTTATATACCAAAGGAGTTACCATCTTTCCAATCCTGAATTTTGTGACTATACAGTGTAGTATATACATTTGGAAATTTTCTAAAGTCATTGAATAAAGTAAACAGTTTAGGTTGGGCTCAATATTTGATGTCTCAGCCTCGCAGTGTGCTGGACTGCTGGTGTGTGCCATCCTGCCCAGCAAGACAGACATTAAGGCTGGCTCACACACTTCAGATGCTATTACCTGATACACAGGCTCCTGTGCTCTGAAAAAGGAGGCCAATGGATGGCAGGTGGTGGCAGAGATTTAAAACTAAGACCTTGCATACATTAAGGATGTGCTATCCCACTGAGTTATACCAAGCCTTGAGAACCAAAACTTTTAAGAGACGGTATCTGACAATACCAAAAATCTGTTTGGATTCCCAGCTCTATCTTTCCATCTGTCTTCTTTACCTGGACAGCACTGGACCCTGCCTCCAACATTCTTACAACCTCTGCGTGCATCAACAGAACTGCTATCATGGGGACCACTCCCATTACCTGAGTCAGAGCTTGAATACTTGTGTTGATATCACCACTGGCTACTTGGGAGATAATGAAATTGATTGTGGATGCTGTATTACTGTGCATGTCATCAAAGTGTGGAGACACAGCTCGGATCCTAGAGAGAAGAACAAGGGGAAAAGTTAAACCTCTATTACAAAATATGCCAGAAAGTGAGTTATAGTTTCCTACTAGATTCAGGTCTTTGTAAAAATTGCCACAGGTCATACAGTAACCAGTTCTAAAAACTGGTTTTTGCTGGTACTGGGGAATGAACTCACTGTGTTCTCGCTGTACCACATCCCCAGACCTTCAGTGTTTTTGAGACTGAATGAACCTAAATGGCTAAGTTGCCCACACTAGGGCTTAAAACTTGGAATTCACCTGCCTCATCATACTGGAATTATACCTGCGTACCACTGTACCTGGCAAGCCTAAGAAGTTTTAGTTGCACAGTTCCATAGAGGGCTTTTGTTTTATTTTGCAAAGGGCCTTGTTTGGTCTTGAATTCACTATGTAGCCCAGGCTGGCCTTGAATACATGGTGATCCTCCTGCCTCTGTCTCTCCAGTGCTGGGATTACAGGGGCATGTACCTACCATACCCAGCTGTCCAGAGGGCTCCTTTTAGATATGTACTCTGATGATCATGAACTACTTACACCTAAATGAACAAGTTGTACTTACTTGGGCTCAGGAATAAGAACTGGTTCAAAAATATCATCCAGCTTATGCTGAACAAGTTCTGGCATTTCACATCGGACTGTACCATTGTCATTCTCAATCTCATCTAGGTCCAGCTGGAATTCCCGGCGAACCATCTGGGTGGCCTCAGGATGCCCACTCATGCCTCGGGCTTGGCTAAAGGAAACAAAAGAAGACTCCTGAAGTGGGGCACTTTTCTCAACCACAGGGCAAGAGTAGCACTGCCAGGTACCTCAACACTTCAAGACAGATGTTCAACTTCTGGTTTCAGCCCCCCTGAATGATTGAAGTCCTTGAGTCTAAGAAAGTGCTGGAGGCAACAATATCAGTTCAAGCATACCCTAAGACAGCAGCTAACTCTGAACATGTATTATAACCAGCCAAGTCATAAATATTTCCAATTCACTAGTGCTAACACACCTGGTACTTCTATTTTAGAAAAGACGGGAAAGAAAGTATATTTATATTGACAAGAAGCTGAATACTCATGGAAAAAAATGTAAGAGAAAAAATCTAGACTGGCTGGTTTTTTCCTACAAACTAACCAGTGCTTATGTTTTTATAATCAAAAGCATCATTCCAAGCAGTGTTCAGGACATTTTATACTTTGAAGGGCAGACACATCCCTTTTAAGAACTGTCTTGACAGGTCAAGGCCAGCATTATATCTCAAAAAATAGATATGCAAAGTTTCCAAATTCAAATTGGTTAAAATTATACTCACGACACAACTCAAAATAGAGCTGTGTTGCTTAGAAGGCAGTATTTTGAGTCCCTAAGCCAATTCTGGGTTGCATGCATTTTACTTGGTCTAATCTCAAAAATAGGAACTTAAGGATAACCAAATAGCACCCAAGGAAGAAGGCAAATCAATGCTTTAGCTCTATGACATTGAGCTGCCATTTCTGCTAGCCACTGGCCTTTCCTGGGAGGCATGGTATTTATGGACACCATTTACCTTGTTATAACTCTAAGCCAGTCACCCTCCAGAGGGGATGAATCCATATCAGAAGTTAGAAAGATATAAGAGCCCTGCTAATGAGAAATTAGCAGGCAGTACTTACATCCTATAAGTGCGATACATAATTCTGTCCACGGAAAAGCAGTGAAAGAAGGCACAAGACCATTTAGAAGTGGTTTTGAGACAAAGACAAAGACAAAGGCAATGAATACTGAAAGATTAACATCTGGTTACAGGACATTTACCCAGACACCCTCGCATGCATGGTAATGACTACGAGAACTCAAGATTATGTTACAGACAAGCTCTGAGCACACAAAGCTAAGTCCACAGAGATGCTCTTAGCCACCATCTCCAGCCACATACTTGAGCTTGGAGGACATGTCCTCAGCTGGGCCCTTGCGCAGCATGTTGGCATTGGAGGTTGTATTCTGGGTACGCTGTGGTTTCTCTTCCACCTGTTTCATTGGTGCGGCAGAAGGCCTCTTTGCTGACCGCTTAATTCGTTCTTCAAGCATGCTCATATCCTTTTCAGAAAGCTGTAAAAAGAGGCCACAGTTAATTTATTAAGACATCAATCTACTAAAATATGAGAATTCAAAACCTAATTATAGGACTCAAGAATGATCTATTTTCATGCTGAAGATAATAGAAGCTACTATGTCAAGATAAGTTTACTTTCAAAACACTTTATTATTAAATACTATTTTTTAATGTCTGCCTGGCTATAACAATTAATACATGAATGAAGGATATAAAAAGGCTATTGAATGAAGTTTGTGTGTATTTTGTTACTACTAAGTACATGTATGTCTACAGGTAAGAATGTTCACCTTTGGTTGCTTGTAAAATTCCTCATGACCTCATTAGGTGATAATAAAGACTTGACGAGATAGTAAAGGTAAAATTCAAGCCTACTGTGAGCTAACTACAACAAACAACAAAGGTTCAGTTGCAGTAGTGACTGGCTCAGAGGAAGTAGGAGTCAGAGACAAAACTTAATGTGCTTGGGACAGGGGGTTCCTGCCTGCAGCTCAGGCCTCTTTGAATATGACTGGAACCAGTATCCATTCTGTCCCCAAGAGAATACTTGTTAACCGAAGACTAAATGCATTAAAAATTACAGAGCAGATTGCCACAAAATTTAAATCCTATGGTAGCTTAGATTTCTTGGTGGAAAAAATACCTTTCATGTCTAAAGCAAATTGTATGAATAGAAATGCTAAGAAAAGAACATTTGATTTCCAATAAAATACAGTCCAAATTTCCCACAATAATGAGAGACACATTAAGCAACTATCTAGATTCTAGGATACATTTATAGGTTAAATTAATCAATAAGTGGTAAAAGTTAGATGCAGTTGAGATTGGAAGAAACCCCACCACTAGGAATCTTGGAATTCTTTTTGGGGGGAGTATGAGGAATTCAACTGAGGACCTTGCACTTTCCAGGCAAGTGCTGTGTTGCTGAGCTATGTCTCCAGCTTGGAATTCTTTTCACAGCATGTAGTAATACCCAGGGGAAAGTTACTCACATTTCCAATGAGTTTGAACACCTGATCTCCGTGGACATTGTATACTGTGACGATGGTGTTGAGAGCAGCATTGCGCACAGCATTGTCACGGTCCCCTATGTGAATAGCTATCTCCTTTAAAGCTTTTCCTGGGGTTGGCTGGCAAACATTCATGCCATAGGACTCCACCAGACACCCCAGTTCCTCCAAGCACTCTGTGGGGAAAGGTGAGATATTGAGACAACACACTGGCACAGCAGCCTGTCCTTACTGCATAACTCTCCTTTCACATACATCAAGGATTAAATCTTATTCTGGCTCTACTTAGAACCATTTTTTCTACACACCATTTTATCAACGAAACAAAGACAAACAGCAAGTGCTCCTGAAAGAAAGGCATCCCTGTGAGTCAGATGGCCCCTGTGCACTTGGTTGTGTCACCAGGGTGGTACTGAGTGGGGCCTGTATCACCTGATACCATGGCCCCACCAGTGTGCAACTCATCACGCTCACAGCCTAAGTCAGAAGGTGAAAACCAACTATATAGATGTGAAAATGTCTTCCTTCATTGGCACTGCAGGAAGTCTGCTTTACCTGCTCTTTGCTTAGAGTTTTTGGATTTGGTTCCTTCCATGACAAAGGGGAACATCTTGCTGGCTGGATAGACAAGGCACATCCGGTTCAGGATGGCACGAACGTCTTTCCGAATTACATCTTTTGGCTCTCCAACCTAGGCAATGAGGAAAAGGATGAAATGAGGTCTTTGCTGAGCAGAAGTGGTCACCACAGGAATGGTTGTTATCTTGAAAGCAAGGGACATGAAGAAGAGTGGTGGAACACTTATGAGAGAGAAGAATACACATGAAAGAGGAATAAGGAATGGGAGGGGAGGAACTGAGATCAGTCGGGAACTTAAGCGGCTCCTAAGGTGAGAAGAGTGCATTCATTACCTTGAGGATGAGATATGGGATGAAAGAAGATGCTTCATTTTCAGTGAGATGATATTCCTCTTCACTTAACAGTGTAAAGAGTAATTTTAAATATTCCAATGCTTTCATTAGGACACTTGTGTTAGTGTCAAAAAATCTCAGGGTAAGCCATTTTAAGATAAGATCCAGGCAACCAATAACACCTTCTTTTTCACTCTCCAAGTGCTTAAAATAAAACAAAACAAAAATACCACAAATAAGACTGTATAAAAGCTTAATATTTATCTAGGAATATTTCTTAAATTTTACTGGAGCCCAGAAAAAAAAAAAAATGACAGATTCTGAAGTATTGAGTTAAGGCCTAAAAAATACTCATCATCACTTGGCTAGTCAAATAAGACAGTTCTACCAAGGAAATGGTACATTCCCTTTCCTACTGAAGGAATGGAACCGTCTCATTACGTCACAGGCCTCTATATTTCTGTATGCCTTAGAAACACACACATTCACACATCCTAGACTTACATCGACCATGACAGCCAGGGCTTTATTGTGGTGCTGAAAATCTGAATGAAACATCTCATCTTGTAACCATTTAGCCACACAGCTAGACATCTGTGTCTTCAGTTGTTCAATGTATTCATCCCGTGGGGTGGTAAAATTCCACTTCAGCACCTGAAAAAAAGTGAGAGGGGGCTAGTTATAAAGTGTTTAAATGAAATGAAGTTGAAAAATAAAAAAAATAAAAAATAAAAAATAAAAATAAAATAAAAATAAAAAAAATAAATGAAATGAAACAGTTTTATTTAATGCAACTACTGAACTTAATATATTTTTAAATTAAACAAGATAAATTTGCAATTAAATGAAAAGCATATTTGTTTCTTTTTTCTTTTTTAAAATGTATTTGGTATAAGGTTTCACTATGCAGCTCAGACTCACACTGATCCTCCTGTTTTGAGCTTCCCCAGCACTGAGATTATAGGTGTATACCACCATGCCCAGTTTTGGTGGCTGGCTCAGTGCACTTGGGGGTGGGACTGGTGTAGCCTGTGGTGCAGGGGATCAGACACTGGTCCCTGGAAAAGCACATTTCTGAAAGTTTAACAATTGGATATCTTTTTGCTGCTGTTCTGTTTTTTTGAGACAGGTTCATGTGGTTCAGACTGGCTTCAAAATTCAGTGATTCTCCTGCTTCAGCCTTCTGAATGCTGGGACCAGCCTTCACCGTGCCTGGCTTGAAAATCTTATAGGAAAAGAATTGTGAACAATTCTTACTACAAAAATCAAGATTGTGGGCTGGTGAGATGGCTCAGTGGTCTAAAGCACCTACTTAGAACAAGCTTAGCAAAGCAAAGGGACCGCGGTTCAATCCCCCAGCACCATATACCAGCCAGCCCCGCCCCCTGGTGGGCTGAGCTGGCCACACACACACACACACACACACACACGCACGCACACAAATAAATAAATTAAAAAAAAGAAAAAAAAATCAAGATTGTAAATGGCTTTCGACAGTGGACAATGCTGGCACAATCTTATTGTAGGAATATAAAATATCAAAATTAAAAATGCATACCATTCTAGGAATATACACACACATGTACAAAGACCTATATTCATTTATTTTTTATTTTTAATGTGGTACCAGGGATTGAACTCAGGGCCCTGTGCTTGCCAGGCAAGCACCTATTCTACTGAGCTATCTCCCCAGGCCCTTCACTTAATGTTCTTGAAGCAGCATGGTCTATAATAGTGAAAGAGGAGGGGCAAGCTAAATGTTTAAAACAGTGGACTGGGAGCTGGGCATGGTGGCACACACCTGTAATCCCAGCACTCGGGAGGCTGAGACAGGAGGGTGGCCACAAGTTGAGGCTACAAAGTGAGTTCAAGTTCAGCATGAAACTACATGGCAAGACCCTGCTTTAAAAAACTAAAAACAAAAATACAGATGATGGAGTGGGGATAAAGGCGCACACATATGAAGCGCTAATGAAGAGAGTGACACACAAAAATGTTTACAAAAATCTTTAAGATAGTTCAAAAATAGAAGATACTTAACAAAGAATATACATGGCATGTTTCTGTCTTTGTAAAAGGAAGGCTTTTCTCACATACACACACAGGTATATACCCATGGAGTATTTTCTGAAGCAATATTGTATGGGGGGTGATAACAGCTTTCCAGTAAGAAAGACCAAAGTTGGAGACACATGGAAGATATGCTTTTCATACCTGGATAATGCACTACATTCTGTACTTTTCAGATAGATTTTGTTAAAGCAATGTTAAAACAATTTTAGGAAATAAAAAATGATGAACATAACAAAAACAAAAAAATTAAAATTGTTCTTGTTTTATCTTTGTATGCTTAACTCAGTCACATCCTGGCCTAAGAGAAGTAAACAAACGAGCCACGGATACAGTTCCCATCTGTGTTCAGACATTACATACACAAAGATTAAAGCAGCAGCCTACTGTACTATGTCCAGTGGGTAAGGATCAAGGAACACTATTTAGTTTTGTCTTTTTGAGACAGAGTGTCACTATGGAGTTTAGGCTGGCCTTGAACTCACTGTGCAGCCCACACTGGCTTCCACCTTGCAGTGATCCTCCTGGCTCAGCCTCCCAAGTGTTACGATTATAGTCATGGGCTACCAAAACCAGCATTCTTTGATTTTTAAAGTTAAACACAATTAATCCAAGCCCCAAAAGAGTCAGTTAATTAGTACAAATGTCACACTATGAATTTTGGGCAGCAAAACTATTTTTCATTTTTAATGTTGTATTTATTAGCTTTTGAAACTTGTGTTTCCCTTTTTTTTTCTTTTGTGTTTTTGAGACAGAGTCTTATCATGTAGTCCAGGCTGGCCTTGAACTCAGGGGTAATAATCTTGCCTCAGCCTCCCAAGTGCTGGGATTATAGGTGTGTGCTACCATGCCTGGCAACAAAACTATTTTTGATTAACAAAACAAAACGAAAAAACTCCTTAAGATTTTTGTCTCTTCCTTACCTTTAATCCCTTTTCATCTTTCATCCTTTGCTCCTTGCCATTTGGAACAACAATAAAAATGGGCCCAGATTTGTCTTCATCTTCCTTTAAGCCGGTTTTGCCTGGTGCTTTTTTTCCTTGTGTACTCTGCAACCGAAGTTCAGGGAATACTAGTTAGCTAGGCCACTCCTTCTCAGGAGGATGAGTGTTGCCCCAGTAAAAAGACATCATAGAAACCAGAGATGCCTTTCTTTTAGCATGTTGTGTCTAATGTTCTTGCATGGGTTCTCCAGAAATGTTTCTAACAGCATTATTCTTCAGTAATTTTGGGTAGTTCTTGGGCTGGCAAAGATTATAGCTGGAGAAGCCACAACTTCCATAGTCTCCATAATAACACCAATTATTTTTGCTTGCTGTGTAGTTTCCTTCTTGAAATGTTCAATATTACTTTCCATATTGATGACATTTTAAATGGCCTTCATATATTTCATACTAATTAGTTGAGAATTTCTCTTTTGTTTCCCTCCATATTTAAAATACCTCTATCACTGGAGCTACAGAGCACCTGGTTATAAACAAAGTTGCTGGAAACACCTCAGTGCATCCCCTACCCAGAGGTACTCTACTACTGACCTGTATCTCCAGCTGTTTATTTTTTGAGACAGGTCTTGCTACACTGCCTGGTCTGCGTTCCTACTAGAGAGCTTCCCACTCCAGCCGCCCAAGGGCCAGGATCACAGGTATGTGCCACCATACCCAGCTATTAAAAAAGTGGTTTTTAAAAAAAATTTCAAAATTTCTAATTTTTGTATCATATGAAAAGAAAATGGGGCCGGGGAGATGGTTCAGTAGAATAAGCGCTTCCCTGGCAAGTGTAAGGGCCTGAGTTCAATCCCCAGTTCCACCAACAAAAAGAAAAAAGAAAATAATGAACAGTGGTACATATGTTTAAAGTACAAGATTTCATTATTGGAATTATCATTATTTCTGTATCAAAAATTTATTATTTCTACTTGGCCAGAATTTCTTTGTAGTTCAACCACTGAAGTCATTCAGTCAAAATGAATATGAGCTCATTTTATGTAAAATTACTTTTCAAATTGCAAAAAGTTGGAAAAAAATTATGCCATTAAGAACAGAGTCAAAAATACTTCAAAGCACTTGTGATGAAAACACTAAAACAAGCACATGCTTAATTTGGTGTGAGGACAGGAAGGACAGGAAAAGAACATCACTGGATAATTTAGAAGACAATTACCCACTTAAATTAACTCAGAGTTAATGTACCAAAGAATAGGGCAGCAAAACAGGTGACTTAATACTTAGAAGAATGAGAACAATGTGTGCAGTCTATGATGGAAGTACTGAGTAATAAATACACTCTTACATATCTTCATTGATTATATACAGTAAATGAAACAGTTTATTCCATTTAGATTTACCTTTTTTTTTTTTTTTAACTGGGAATTGAACTCAGGACCTCATGCTTGCCACACAGGCGCCATGTCACTGAGTTATATCCCAGCCCCTCCATTTGGATTTACTATTAGGCTTGCTATTCATCATTTACATGGGAACATTTTCAAAGCATACAACTCTGCATTGATACTGAAAGAAGCAGTTATTTAAGTCCCATTTGTATGCACACAGGCTATTTCTCTGTGGGCTAATCAGATCACCTTTTAATATGAGGACTTACCTAAGCCAAAAAGGAAGGAAGCTAAACTGGAAGACTACCCTTCTTTCAAATCCAGATTGACCTAAAGTGTTTATTCTGCCAGAGCTCCACATACTTCCAGGTCTATGCACTCCTGCAAGTTTTCTCAACATTTGCATGAAAGGATCATGCAAGCCCTCATGAGAACAAGCTGTCTCTGTTTTAGGTCTTATTAAAAATGGGCCATAGAAACATGTACAAATATTCAATAATTCAATATTCTCAAGAGCAGTGAAAAAAGAGTAGTGATGTTCCTTCTTATACAAGTATATGAATTTTATTAATAGAATGCATCAGCATGTAAAAATATACGTGAAAGCAAATCTATATGCACGTACACAGGTAACACACCTTAGTTTTAGAGGAGACTCCTGAAACTTTGGCTTTTTTCGGATCAGGCTTGGCTTCTACAGTGCTGGAAACAGAATCTTCAACAGGTGCTTTAAGAAAAAAAGCATGTACTATAGCTAATGTTTTATTCTGGGCAGGTTAAATATGCAGTAATGATGAAAAAATTCTGGTGACATGCTTTTAATTAAAAAAATTTTTTGGTACTCGGGATTGACCCCAGTCCAGGGTCTGTGTACTGAGTTACCTCCTATTCTGTTTCAACATTTCATCTGATGTAAGGTCTTATTAAGTCATTAAGTTTCCCAGGCTAGACTTGAACTTGAAATCCTCCTGTCTCAGCTTTCCAGAGTGCTGGGTTTATAGAAAGGTGCTACCATGCCTGGCTGAAAGCCTATAGTTTCTTTTCTTTTCTTTTTTTTGGTGGAACCAGGGACTGAACTCAGGCCCTTGTACTTGCCAGGCAAGTGCTTATTCTACTGAGCCATCTCCCTGGCCCCGAAAGCCTATAGTTTCAAGTATATAAACTCACAACGTGCATTGTTTTCTTTTATTATTTTGCTACTGAGGATTGAACTAAAGACCTCATGAATGCTAAGCATCTATCACTGAACTACAACTATTACCCTTTTTAGACTTTGAGAGGGTCTACTAAATTGCTTAGGCTAGCTTTAAATTCATATTCCTCTTGCCTTAGCCTCCCAAACTGGATTACAGGTGTGTACCACTGCCCTGGCAGTATTTTCTCTTTTGGGGGGAGGTGAGGGGTTTGGGGACTGAACTCAGGGTCTTGTGAATGCTAGACAAGTGGTCTTCAACTGAGCTACAGCCACAGCCCTAGATAATTTCCCTAGCTTCTCCCCATTCTTCTTTAAGCTTAACAATAAGATGTTATTTCTGAAAAGCTACATTTCCTATAATATTTATAGGATAGTAATTTAAAAATTGTTTAAAAATTATTTTCTAAATAGCAGTTTTTAAGAAAACACTTTTTGCCAGGTTAATACTTGCTTAATGGAAAGGCTGTCATCTCTCAAATTCATTATCTTTGTAATGAGGGTTTTTAACTTTCAATTTTTTTTTAATTGTAGGGAAAGGTCTACAGGGTGTTCAGGGTCTCACTACTAGATTGAACTCATACTGATCCGCCTTTTTACAGCTTCCCAACAGCTGGGATTACAGGCGCGCACCACCATGCCCAGTCTCAATGTACCCCGGGGTCAGGGATGGCACGGCAGGCCTGGGGGATCAAACTCCTGGCTCCTGCGCCTGCTTGTAGGCACTTTAATCCGCTGAGTTATTTGGCTGGCCCTCAAATTCATTATATTCTACAAAACAAGATCCAATAAATATTGGTTTTTGCAGTACTGGCGATTGAACTCAGGACCCAGCAAGTGCTTATTCTACTGAACTATCTCCCTGGCCCAAATCCA